GAGATCTTCGGCTGCGAGATCTTCAGATTTGGAGATCGTCATCATCAATTTCGTTCCTTATATCATTCCTGTGAGATCATTAGTTCAGATTTCAAATATTTCAAATGTATGATACGTATATATAGAAGAGAAACATTGTGATTAAAAAAAATGTAAAAATTATAAAATGTCTTTATTAAGATAGGCATTTCCTATTTAAGAATTTTTTTGAAAGAAAATTGATTAAATTATCCTTTATCCTAATAAAAAGACAAAAAAGAGAGCTTCACCACCAAAAATAAATAAATAAATAAATAAATAATCCCTTTAATAAATTATTTGGGTGTCTAACATTAATCTTATAACAGCCAGATGCTACTGCTGCCGCTTCTTCTGCTCATCATCGTCAATTAACCACTGGTACTAGCAAGAGAAAAAGAAGAAGAGCAAAGTAAGATTATGGAATTTTCATCTTTCTAAATTGTAAGTAAGTATTCGCTCCCCAAAAACCCTATCTATACTCTCTCTCTAAACCATTACCATTTCCATATGAAATCCATCACTTCACTTGTTAAATTAATTCTCTTTCACCTTCCCATGAAATTGAAATTGTTCTCCCACCCATCCCATTATTAGTTAACCAGGACAACGACCACACTATGATTCGTCTTTTCGGTCGTCTTCTGTGCCCTAGAAATCTCAAACCTACTAGGTATCTTTTCAACTCTGCCCAAAAAAGTATTACGAAAAGCCCTAGTTTTGATTCATGTGCAGATTCTTCAACTTTCCCTATAATAATATTTAGGCAATCTAATTTTGTCCGGTGCTACTGTTGTTCTCGGAATAACACCGTTGATTCTTCCACTGTGGTGTGGACTGACGATATAATAGAGTATTTAGATGAATCCGGTGGGGTTATTTTTTCCGGTAAGGGCATAAGATCGGTTGAGCCTGGTCTTGATGACCATGTCATGGTCGGTGCCTTCAAGAAGCCATTTTTGAATGCTTCCGCCGTCGCCAAAATTGTGGAAATTGTCAAACGCTGGAAATGGGGTCCCGAAATGGAGACCCAATTGGACAGACTTCAATTTGTCCCAAACATGACTCATATTTCTCAGGCCTTGAAGGTTATCTCTGACACTGATGCTTCCTTAAGTTTGTTTCGTTGGGCTATGAGGCAATCCTGGTACTCCCCTTGTGACGACTGTTATGTTACGCTCTTTGACAGGTTGAACTCCGGCGACCTTGGTTCTTTGCCAGAAACTATTGAATGCATAAGAAGCGTGCGAAAGCAATGTGTCTGGCTGAAAGCATGAGCCATTGGGCAAGACCGAATCGCAGTCAGCTCCTGACCCACATGCGTAGTTCATAGCCTCTTGGATGATCGGGTCTGGCACTGTTGGCTTTGCCACGCACCACAGTGCTGAAAATGGGGCCTTCTTCGGAGGTGGCGGCACCGCAGGCGGTGGAAACACTACCGGCGGCTGAAACACCGGCGGGGTCGGCACAAATATCGATGGCGATGGTGGCCCATTATTATTGAAAGGGGGGCTGGGCTGAAAATTGTAAGGTGGACTCAACACCGGTACTGTTGGTCCTGGGACAATGGTGGGCGGACTCGGAGGTCTGGGAACAATTTCTGGTGGATTGGGCCCATTTGGCGATGGAATGGATTGTGGTGGGGTTGGGATAATGCCGCCGCCTCCACCGGCTGCTGGGCCTGGAGGCGGGCTTTGGAATGGTGTGGAAGAGGAAGGAGGTGGTAGTGGGAATGACGGTGTGGGTGTGGGTGTGGGTCCACCACCACCTCCTCCTCCGGCAGTGGTGGGTGGTGGTGGAAACGTGGGAATGGTTGTGGAAGGAGGTTGAGGGGTAAAGGGTGGATAGACACAAAAGGGAGGGGCATAATCAGGCAGGGGAACTGGAGGAAGAGAATCGTAAGGTGGCAAAGAGAATGGTGAACTGACACCGTAGGGTACGGTGTTAGAGGCATCCAATTGGGGACCAATGTCAAACTCCAAGTGCTTTGATACTTGTATTTCGTTTGTCGCTTTGTTGATTAATGATGACCCTCTTTCTCTTTCTCTTACTCTTACTCTTACTCTTGCTGGATGTCTGGCACCTCCTTCTCCTACTATGTGCATTGATCTTCTTGCATCTGCTCAGCAACACACAAGATAATGATTCTGATGAAATTTGGACTTGAATGCTGTGTTTGAATAAGATATATACTGTTATTAATTAATTTAATTTAATTTGGACTATATGCAGCTAAACTGAAGTGAGATAATGATTAGTAGCATAGCATCATTCCTCGTAGCAGATTAACACAAGTTAAGATTAAGCAGATAATTGTACATGTAGTAGTACTGCACATGTAAGAGCAAGACCGCCAATTAAAGAAGTCTACAGTATATACTACAAGATTAAGCTTAAAATTAAAGAAAATAAAATATGCAACATTATTATTGAGCAGTCAGTTTGATGAATATTAGAATCATTGAGCAGTTGCTGAAAATGCAAGTGATGTTGCAGTGTGCAGTACTAGGTAGTAGCTAGGTTGCTAGTCAACAGTCACAGATGGAGAGAGACAGAGGGAGGAAACAAAGCAAAACGAAATTACCACAGTGGGTGAAGGAAAGAGCAGCAACAGATAAATGGAGAGCTAAAACAAGGACCCGAATTTTCAGGACAACTCTGCATGTTTTCTCCATTAGGGCTGGGGCTTGGCTAACTTAGCTTAGGTAGCTCCCAAATATTAATTACAGAACTAAGCTTGCTAGCTAGTGTAATATTACCGCCCACTAGAAGCCTGTATATTATTACTTTGAAAAGAAATTAAAGCCGTTTCTGCTGATCCGGCACATACATGACAACATTCTTAAGAACCACAAAGCCAGCATGAATGAATGGCCTTTGCATATATATATATATATATAGAGAGAGGTAGAAAAAGAGCTGGGGTTGGATTAGAATGAGCAAAGCTAAAGTAGCTATATAGCTAGCTAGCAAATTGGAATAAGGATGTTGGCCATGAAAAAATAAATAAAAAATAAAAGAAAAAAGATGATTCTTTGGCAACTAACTTTTGCACTGTCTCACAATGCTTGCCGCTTTGATTTGAAGATGTGCGACTGAAGAAATGTAATAAAAAAGAAAAAAAAAGGTCTGTAAGAGAGAGAGAGAGAGAGAGAGAGATGGTGTGTCTTTAAATTTTTTTTTGTAAAGATCACTCTATGAGTCCAAATCATTTAGAGTGATTTTTGATAAAATAATCTTAGAGTAAAATAATATTATTGTATCCTCAACTTAGTAACTTTGGTAGAATTAAATTATAGCCATTAAAAAAATTACTCTAACAAAATTCAGTCTAAAAGATCTAGATTCACTTGGCATCTCCTAAATAAATGCATTTATTTGGATCACATCACTTTTTTATTTTTTGTAAATCTTTTTATAAAAAAATCAAAATATGCACATATATTTAAATCATTCCAAATAGCCTACTATGTATTATCTTTTGTTTTCTGTAATTAATTTGTTGTAAGTTAAGTTGTGTTGGTGTTGATGGTGGGCATATATGCTTAGCTTGAAGTTGGAAAAAAACATGTTAAAGTGTAGTTTTTTGATCCTTTTGGTTTTGCTTGCTTTCTACTCAAAGCCCCCCCTCCCCATCAAGAGACGAAAGTAGCTCTAGTATAAAACTCTTGAATCCAGGTTGGATAAATTCACCTGTTACAAAGTTTATTTTTTTTCAAGTTTTCAAATTTAAATTTGTTCATTTATTCATTTAAATGTATCTATATATCAGAAAGTTACACACATAAATGAAAGACAGTTAGACGATCTCCAACTTAAACTCAATTTTTTTTTTATCAAATTTAAAATTGATGAAAATTTGATAAAAACGGTGTTCTAACCGTTTTACTAAATTGGTATTAAATGAAAGGAATCCTACTTTTTTCATCAAATTAAGGAGCATTTAACTTTTTCATCAAATCTTGTAAGTGAGCATTGGTGGACGACCGGTCAAATAATCGGGTGGACAACTGGATTGGAAAAAATTTGAAGAAAATTTACATTAGATCGGACGACTGTCCGGACATCCTTCCCGTCAACCAATTGTTTGATGAAAATTAAAAATTTAGCATTAAAATGCTTGGTATCGAACGAAGCTTTATACAATACACAATATATGTGGCATAGAAATGAGTCGCTAGGTAATCATAGAATGCTGTTAGCTATATATGATAAGAGTAATGATAAACTGAAAATTAACAAAAAATTTTGTTCAAAATGACGTAAATTATTATTATTTTTTATTTTAATATAAAATGCCAATAAAATAAATTTTTTTTTATAAAATTAACATTACCATCAATGTTTTGAAAATTGGACTGAACCGCCCGGTTCGATCAGTCCATGGTCTGATCTGGATATACCCTCTAACTTAATCCCTCAAGTTACTTTATGCAAAACCTGTGGGAACCATGGTTAAACTGCTAAACCGGTCGGTCCAGTCCGATTTGCTATATTTGGTCCAATATTAAAAAAATTGATGCTAAAGGAATTTGAACCCAACACCTTAAACTCTAAAAAACATGAATTTCTACTTTGTCACCATGCTTCCTTATTAATATGTAGGAAGGGATTAGGGGGGCGTGCTGTGACAGACACAGGGTCGTTTTGGTGCCAGCAACTTTTTGTAGTTCTGTAATATTTTTGATATATTTTTGTATCTTACTTTTACTTAAAAAAATAAATAAAATACTATTTTGAGTCAATTAATAAATATACTTACGGAGATTTGTTTAAAATATATATGTATGGTTTTAGAAATTATAAATACTCAATTGACAAAAAAATGTATTTAACAAAATTAACAGAAAAAAGTGAAATTCTTATTTACTTTTGTATATAACAATAAAATTATGAAAATTGTTAATTAAAATATATTTATCAAGGGTAAATCACATTACCCATTGGATCATTTTGGTCTTAGGCTTTCAATTGATTTGATTGACCCTTAATTTCAAATTCTGCATCAATTTGGTCTAATTCATAATATCATTAGTATTTTTTAAGAAAAATTATTACTAAATTTGTTGAGGTTAATTTACTGAGTTGGCTAAATTTATAATTTTGTCCTTAAAAATACAACGCATGACACTTATATACATATTTTTCATAAAAAAAATAAATATTAACAATTGTAATCACTAAACTAAATTGAGATAAAGTCATAAATTCAAAATCAAAATCAAATAAATTAAAATTATATAAACTAAAATGACATAATAATCAAATATGATAACTACGGTCATAATTTGCCCAGCTATCAATTGATGTTTGTCACATAAATGTTTCATTTTTAAAAATATTCTAAAATATAATAACTGAACTACAAAACAAATCACAAATATTACAACCCCGTGTCTGTCACAGCACTGTACTGTGACAGCACGTCCCTAATCCTTAACATTAATTGTATTTAAATTAATTTCTTTCAAACACACATGTATAATTAATATTTTACAAATAATATCAATAGAAAGATATATGTTTGATGAATATATATATTAAATTATAAAAATATTTTTAATGAATGTATTTTATTTATTTTTAAATCATAAAAATATTTATAAAATAATTATGACATAACGGTTTGATTCCGGTTCAACCTAACGGTTGAATCAGTGATCCGACCACCTAATCTCTTTTCCGGTTTACTCATTGATCCGATTTTTAAAACATTGATTACCATATAATTTCAGTCTTAAAATTTCTCTTAGTATATAAATTTTCTATATTATTATATGATATTCCTTGATTACCAATAGAATGTGGCTAAGTAAATATTAGGGTGGGTGTTTATTGTAAATTGGAATAGGCTTACACTATGCAGTAAGAAAATACGTATCATTCTAAACCTAATTCAACTCATCGGACTTTGTCTAACTATTCTAAGCCATATTATAAAAAATAAAAATAAAAATTATAAATTCGAAGCCCTTCCACTTTAATCAATATATATGAAGTATTATTCGTATTTGGTCTTGGAAAAAATATTAAATTAATTATGCCTTTCAATAATTATTTAAATTTAGGCCAATAACAAAATCTAATATTAAATTTATTTAGACCTTTTAATAAATGTATAAAATTGACATTTTAAAAAATATTTGAGTTATCATACACAAAACTATTGGTTTAGAGTTGTTAAAAATAGTTTTCTGAGTTTTTAATTTGTATTTTTATATTTGTAGTAATGTTAAAAAAATATTTGAATCAAATTTTTTTACTTTTTATATCTACTTAATTTTGATATATTTAAAAAGTATAAAATTTGTACAAAAATCTTTAAAAAATTTATTGTGCATGCATATTGAATTTTCAATTTTTTTTTTTTTTTGTATTTTGTATTTTTCTATTTGGTGAATTTTTTAAAAACAATTTCACAAATATTATACTTTTTAAGTATGTGTAGATTGGATATATTTAAAAATAAAAAATTAGGTAAAAATTTATTGAAAACAAAAAAACTCAATTTTAAAAAAATCAATCAAAATCAAACAAAGTGGCTAGTATTTTTATGGTTGTTGTGGTGTGATAAAACAATACATAAATGAATATTAATATTTTATAAGAACAATGATACGTTCTTTTAATTTTAGAACTCTAATTGAGCTCTAATGATATGACAAGAAATAAAATATATATATATATATATATATAGAAATGATACATCCCTCTAATTTTGGAGCTCTAAAAGAGCATTAATGATGTGAAAAATCAAAAAATAAAAAATAAAAAAAATCAAGGCCAAAATATCACATCACATGAGACCCACATACCAATTAGAGTTATTAGGGGCTTGTTTGGTTTGTGTTTGAGAAACAATTTTTGAGAGAAAAAAGTACCAAAACACGTTTGGCAAACAAATTTCGCTCTCAATCATTTGTATACATCGAATGGGTTGGGCTGCAAAACTAACAAAAGTGACCGGATTGTATTTGAGCTTAAAAATGACCCGACAATGACATGAATAATCAGGCCCATTTTAGTTTCGTTTGGATATGTATTTTTGGCTAAAATAAAAAATAAAAAGATAAAATTAATTATATAATATAATAACATATCACATCTAAATTATAATATTACACTTTCATTTCTTATAAAATTCAAAACAATCAAATCAAGCAATATTAAAAAAGTCAAACTAAATAAGCCTTACCACAAAAAAAAATCAATGTCAAATGAAGGCTTTATAACAGAATAAAAATTATTATGAATTTCAAATAATTTATTAACTATTTTATCAAAAAACTCACATATATGTAAATTCTACACCATATAACATTTAATAAAGGGATTTTTGGTGAAAACCCCCCTTATTGGGCCTTTTTTGTGTCCAACCCACGAAATAAACAATGACCCCAAAAGTCCCTCAACTAAAAAAATATTATGAATTGACTGAAATGTCCTTCCATATAAGTGGGGAAATATGAAAAAATTCTACCGTTTCTCTCCCCTCACTCTGTTTCATCGATTGACAACCCTCCTCTAAATATCCTCATTCGAAAACCCTAGCGTCGATTGAAAACCCTTCTCTGAGTCTTATTACTCTCGCTCTCTAGAGCTACTTTGTCTTTCTACTCCTGGAACGTTACAAGTTCGTCGTTTGCGCTCGAATCAAACTCCGCATTACGCTTTACTCTCTCTCTTGGACACACATTTTGCAGGTGGTTTTTTCCCCTTTCTGCTAGTTTTTTGATATTATGAAGTCTGTCTGGGTTTGTTTTCATTTTACGAGTGGTGTATGAGATTACGTTGTCATGGAATGGGGTGGGATTGTAAGGCTACTAAGGATTTTTTTTTTCTTTTTTTCATTGTTGCATTAGGGTAAGTAGCGTTTGGGATTTTGGGTTACACTAAGGATCATCTGTTCTAAA